TTCCTCAAATTCGCGCTTCGGTCCAATGGTTTTTTCAAAATGTGTACTTTTTCATGGTAATCATGATTGAAGCGTATAATCATGATTATGTATTAGTCATAAACGTCTTCGGATCAACATTCTTCATTTTTATATGATTAAATCTTTATGGATTAAAATTTTCATAAATCATGGAAAATCCTAGTGTTTTGTTCGCAAATCGATGTGCATGTGCTGAGAAGCACCATGATTTTGGTGCCAAGACTCTCATTACTATAAAGCTAGATTTTTAATGAAAAAGGATCTTGTAAGTGCCCCTATAGCATAGTAACTGCATATCAATTTATGCAGTTGTCATGCCTGCACAAGGGGAAAAAGGGCGAGAAACTTAGTCACGAAACAATGTTCACACTGAATTCAGCACACGAATTAGTTCCATAAAACGTAAAGTCTGTGTGCCAAATATACAATAAAGCACGATAAATCAGAAAAAAATTAATAAATGTCTAGTTAGATGTCGTGCAGATGCAACAGCTGCTGGTGTTCTCCATGGAATAAATTCCGAGGCGTCGAGGCTTTGGTGCTTTATATGTTTTCCGCGCACCCAGAAAAGTTCTCGGGTATGAGCATCATCATGCAGCAGTGGCCTTGTCATTGCTCCACAGCTCGTGTTCTGCGTTTCCGCGTGTTCGTTCCAGCCGACATCCCCGACAACTTGGTGACGAGATGGAAAACAAAAACAAAACAGCAAAATCAAATTGAACAAAGCTCGAGCGTTTATATTTTTGTTCCAATCCAAAAGGCTGTTCTTCATCACTATATAGCGAATACTGTCATCGGAATCCCGGAGGAAGACGCGACAGAAACCGATTGATCTATCCCGTGTTTATTTTTTCGATTCTACCGCATAATAAAGTACTTCACGGATAAAAAAAATAAAATTGGTTTTGTTGTTCAAAATTTGCCTTCAGCAATTTTTTTCAGCCTAAGAAAAGTTTTCAACTGATCATATCATGGAATCGAAATTCTGAAAATTTTGGAAACTTTTCTCCAAGGAAAATTTATGTGGAATAACCCTGAGTTTTGGGCACAGTCGGTTCCCATCAGCTGCGTCCGGTTGTTGAAAAATATTTCCGCATATAATTCGATGGGGTAATTTATCCTGAAAGCTTGAGTGAATATCCGGATGTTCTGAGATTTGCTTTCAGGCTTAAACGTGCCTGGATGTTGAATGGTCCAGATGTCGGGATTTCCAAATGTTAGGGTCGTCCTGTGCTGCTTTATTATGAATAAAAATATGAAAGTGCATACACGCACAACACGATTGAATTGAACTTTGATTGAGTCAAAAAGAATAATTTGTTATTGCTGTTCGGGGAATTCTTCCTTCGATGTGTTGATAAATTCTCAGAAATAAGCGCGTTGATTCTATTTAAGGAATTTCACCCGCAGGCATTCCTCAGGTTAATATGAATTTAAGCACAGCAGACTAAATAACTTTGAATGATGATTTATGCTGCTTGTCCTTCCGAGTGGTAATGCCGTCTTTTGTTTTATATTACATGTATGTACCTGGGCTTATTCGTGAGATATTCCAATGCAGTTATATTTGTCATAAACCACACCCGATTGTGAAAAGCACGCAAAATTCACCTAAATATACACAAGACCAGACACCCGTCGTCAAAGCTATACGCTAACGGATTCTCATACCCGCCCATGAAATCACATCCAATAAATCTGCATCAAAATATTGTGGAAAATTACTATAGTGATTTCTTACGATGCAGAAATGCTTCGCAATCTGAAATAAGCTGAACTTTTGGACTCAAATGGATTAGAGGCAAAGTATAAATAATTATTTATAACCAGGGCCTCTGAACCTTCAACTGTTTTTGTAAACTAAAATCAAAAATCCATTAATTTGATCTGTGTGCATTTTCTAAAAGATTTCGGCCTCTTTTTCACTGGCTCTTGATCGTTGAATGCACGTCCTGCGTAAATTGTTTTACTGATACAAATATTGCAAGTAGTGAGAGAAGCGGAATAACCTCAAAACTTGCTGTTTTACTGTCTGCGCAATCTGGTTCATATACTTTTTCTTACAAGGATGATCACACCCTGTAAAAAAAATTGGGAGCATCAGAATCGAGATTGGAATCTGAGAGCGAACACAAAAAAGCTAATCAACAAGCGTCTAGATCAAGTATCGCGATTTGTATTTAATACCTATTCTCACAATTGACACGGATGTAATTCAGTATAAATGGTCAGAATGAGAACAGATTGCATGTCAGCGTGTGGAAAAGTAACGCTCATTGCGGAAATTGCGAGACGCAATTTCGTTGGGAAGACAATTACAACCGTTTCTGCCGTAGCAAAGCAAGAGGTTTATTGTACTCTGGGGTACCATGACACACAACGCCCCCAGAAACTTTCCCGGGTCCACAGGTTCCAGTATGGGGAACGGATCAGCAAGTTGTGAGAAAACGAACTTACTTATTGAACCCTAACACCTCTTTTCCTGTTCATTTTTTCCCGTGTTCTTTCTTCGTACGTAAATGCATGTAGATTTTTTTTGCTGTTGGAGAAAATCAGAGCTCACTGAAAACATTGTACAGCAGTCGAGCGCTGAAATGTGTTGCTGGGTATCATAGGTCACAATCATCGCATAAACAAAAATCTACAAGAAATAATGTTATTATAGGGTCACGAATGTGAGCCATGTTACAAGAAGTAATCAGATATTGAAGTCTAACTACTATGATAAGTGTCCGAATCTCTTTCAACATTCAAATTAAACCTCGAATATTCGAACCGTTCAGATGACCTGGTCATTCCTAAGGATTTCTCAAGATCGCTGTCTGTATTCCACATTTCGACCACAATTAATTTTAATGTCTTTGTCGATGGAGACATCAGTCCAAAATTTGGCAGCAGTCTTTCTCAGTTCAAGGAAATTCCTAAAAAAAACTGACAGAAATCTCCTGCTGCTGACACAGTGTGCAACAACTGTCCATCTTTTTAAAACTATAAGTAAGCTTTCAGAGAATCGAGAAAAAAATTCTCAATTTCATGTCCGACATAGGAGAAAACGGCTGATGCCCAATTCTAGTGATACTGTTGCTAGAAAAAAAAAAAAAGGAATATTCTTCTGCAGATTTTATTCTGATTTTTCGAAAAGGATTTCCGAAATTTATAAAACATTTATTTAATCGCAACTAATCATTTTTCCAGCGAAAAAAAAAACTCACAGGATATTGGAAAATATTATTTCTCGAGTCCGAATGAAACTTTTCGAGAGGAACCAGAAGATGTTTGGAATCTGGGGCGCGGTGAAATGCAGCCGCGAAGTATTCAGAAGAAAAAAGTTGCGGGATTTCAGAAAAAAATTCAGTGCAAACAAGGATTTTTTTTAAACGATCTCACGGTTATGATGACGTTCCGAAAGAATCGCGTGCTTAGAAACCATCGCAGTAATTGTCTTCCGTTCTTGCGCGCCATATTTCCAGTTTCCTGGCCGGAAACTAGAAATAAGGACGAGTCTCTTACTGCTTGCATTGGAAGAGCGAGAGGACGGGGACTTTCAAAAAGTATATTCTGTATTTCTTCAAGTCATTTCTAATTTTCTATATGATCAGAGCATTTTAAAGAATTGCGGAACATTAAAAACATTCAGTAATACTGTATAGGTATTCGCAAGTTTCTTCCAACCTTTTCGCATGAAAATCATTGATCTTCACCCATATTCCTGTGCGTTACTCCAATATCAACTCAATTTTCCTTCCTTTTCTTCCTAAACATTTTTGGAGTGAAAGGTTCAGTATTCAGAACGTATACAGTCTCTTTCAACTTTCTCCCAAATATTAGCACTTTTCTCAGTCTTGGGATCTGTCTTGTAAAAGCCATGCACTCATCATACGATAGGTAGCAGGCTCCGACGTGAATAGATGTTAAATTATTAATTAAAATATTAAACTGTGTTGCATGCTTTTACCCATATTCTTGTTCAGTCCATCGAATGACTCATCTAACATTTGAACACACATTTGAATTCGATGGAAAAGCAAACCTAATTCCTTTTTTGTATCAACCAATATTGAGTAAATATCAAGATTGGACATGTTAAAATTACAGTAGATGCTTCACCTTTTTCTTTTGATTGCGACCCTTCTCTTTGAAATACAGTAAAATTTTCATGTAAAAACTGCTCCTGGTGCTCTCTGTGCACTTGCATTTCGACCGAGAACATTTTATCCAAATGCTTTGACACATTTAATATTTTTTCACTGAAATTTCAGAACAATAAACTGTACTGCAAAATCCCATCACTCACTTTGAAGCAATTGTGATGACTACAGATTTTTTTTTTTTAATTGGGCGGGGGGCGGTATTCACCTTGAGGTCAACTACCGGTGCTTCATTCTCAAGATAATCCTCGTGGATCCAGAGACTAATAGGCGAATTCCTCAGTATTAAGCATGATTTTCTGTGATGAAAGAGCGGAAATTTCCCAGAGCAACAAATGATGAATCAGCTGAAAATAACTTGGCTATACGTTTGAATATCCATTGCAATGACGTTATCTCTATGCGACTCATCACAAAACTTTCTGAAAAGACCTCCCTTAGTGTATCGCGTAAAAGCGATTCGATCGTTTCCTTCTCAAATCACGCTTTGCTTTATGCATGACCCTCGCAGTGTACACAGCCTCCTCTATATATATATATTTGTGCAGAAGAACCTCTGCTCCAACGAGGCAGAATATTCCTTATTTGTGTTGCAATTTCCAGCCTTTGCCAGCTTATCAAACCCAACAACCCACGACCCGCACCCCTCAGGGTGCCGGCAAGCAGCAGACGTCGCCTCGTTCGCGACACACACACACACGTCAGGACAGGGCAGAGGTGAGGAAAATGCAATTCTCCGCGCGGTGCCATGTCGGCAAATGCAATTGCTGCAATGCGTCCTACTTGATACCAATGAGGAATATACCTCGCTTGACGCAATCAAGCATCAAGCTAAGTGTAAGACAAATTCTGAGAACCAAAAACAAAACAGAAATAACAACGCCCTTCACACCTGGGACTCGTAGTCGCTATTTGTTTCCGTCCTCTTGTACTCGAACCCAGTACTTCTTCTTTTCTCGCGTTGCGTCGTCAAAGACTTGAATCAGGTTACCTGTCTATTGCCGCACGAGTTTTCTGTTTTGTTTTTTTGGTTTTTATTCCTGCAAAAATAGGCATGTAGGCCCAGAACAGACTAAAAAGGTCACCGCGGATGTGCCAAAATTAGTGCGATTTTTAGAAATCCTGGACTTTTTCTCAGAATAAGTTTACGTCAACTGCTCACGGGATTCACGAGGCTATAACGAATGGACTTGAAAAGACCGACGCAAGGAAAACTTTGCGCTTCAGAAGATTAGAGAAAAATTATAATACGGAGATTTAGACTAATTGAGATATAATTTCGATGCTTCGACAAGGGAAAAAATCTTTGGAAAAAGCATAAAAAGCACAAATGAAACCACTCCCGGGATGAAAACAATCACAGTGCAGAAATTATGGACATCATTGAGTTCATTGTGAGCGACGAATGTTTTTTTTTTGCAAACAGAATTTTCCTGTAGTTCCCTCTGAATGATGCGTCTGATGCTGTTGTGGACCGCCCAGACAGACCTGCAAGAGTTCCTCTGCAATTTCAAATTGACTCGTTTCCATGCTCAAGACAATTTTTTCTTCGTCTCGTTCGCTGATGTCCGAGATCTTCTCGAAATCGAGGAGAAAAAAACTATCGTAAGCTACAGTGGCCTTCATTCAGAGCACTGCTTCAGTTATACAAATTGATCTTTTGTCGAGAAGAATTTCAATCTGAATGAATTTTTTTTGCGGTACTGAATCATCTTCAAAAGTAAAATACTAGACCCATCATCAAAGCGATTCATGAGAATGCTTGCTGGAAAATTTCACTCAGAAAGATTACTGTGGATAGACTGCGCTGACATGGAAATTTGTATGCACTATTCTCGCTTTTTCACCCGGGCCTTTTCAACTACAGGCAGACAAATTTGCAATCTCAAAGTTACACCAATTAATGTCTAAATAATCACCTGTATCTTCTTCACATCGAGCTAAACAAAAAATGGCGAACTAAAAAACTCACTGACCGATGTTCAAGTTGGAGAAGTTTTTGTATGAGATGACTTTCAACTCGTCCATGGTTCAAAAACCATCCCTTAGTGAGTTTCTTAACTAAGTACATTATATTCAATTTCACAGGTTTCAACGGTGGTAATAATACTATTGGAACATTGCATTAAGTTAGAGTGGACTTTGTTACATACACAAATAATGAATAATCAGGAATTTCTAACGCGAGCACAGGATTTCATGTGAAGGAAACGTCACGGGTTTGTTAGGGAATAACTTACCAACACATAAAATTATGAGTATTGCAGGATCAATGAGAAAAAAATCACTTTTAAAAGAAACCTTTACTCAGCCTAGGACAAGGCTGGAAATTCCTGTGGATTCTTCGATTTAAAAGCTAGTGATGTACAGTACAGTACATGTATTTATTTTTCCCAACAAAAACAAACCCAATGAAGAAACTAAGGTTTTTATGATAATCAACAACTCAGCAGAATCTTCCTAATTCAAACACACACTTCTTCACAAAAGCTCTCAAGACAAATGATGACTGTGTTCAAGAAAAAAGGGTGTATTTATTAATTCTTTTGTAACTTCCAGATTTGGATACTGGTTTTAGCAGTGGTGCATTTTTGTGGGCCTCGGATTGTCAAATTTTGTTGATATCAAATATATTATAACATTATTCTGCGTCAGCTTTGTGAAAGATCTGGAGGGTCTCTTCTGTTTGGGTAGTTTCATTGCTATTATTTCAGCTCGATTTTATCTCCTTGATTGATTAGGAGTTTGGCGCAGTTCCCCAACAGGGTTGACGGGAATAGCTGGCATTCAGTAATGCAAAATTTTGCCATCCAAAGTGAATTTCATGTCTGTCTGAGAATCCAAAAAATTTCTAGGAGCTTTTAGGTCTGGCGATAAGGAGATCTCGGTTGAGAAAGTGTTGTAGTATAGACCCCTGAAGCCATGAGTAAAGCACAGCAAATTTTATATTTCCTCAGCATCATTGGAAAGGCTTGTATCATCTGAGAAGAATTTATATTGATTCAATAATGCGATTTCCGTAGAAAGTCTATAGTTCTGTAGACTTTTATCGGCCCAATAACCTCTATAGTTTCTTAATTTACTCGAAATGCATTTGCCAAAAAAAATCTTACAAAAACAGTTTCCCGTTGTCGCAGCAGAGGAATACCCTTTCGGAATCCTTCGAGGCACAACTAAAAACCGTTTTAGTTCTTATATTCTGGCCGAAGAAAAGAAAAATCACGCAGTCAGATGGATTGAGAAAAATGTCATTCCTTGTCGAGCAGTTGGGTCGCGCATTTAGCACCCGTTTCGTCATTTTGTCTCGTAATTTCCTTCCGCGGCAGTTGTAATACTCGTTACATGGGGTTCGTCGGGATCTTCAAAACCTAACGACCAGGCATGTGTTGCGAACGTCATGCACATGATTAATAGAAGTTGTTGGAGGAAATTGCGCTGCACTGCCGTGTCGGGGAAAACAAGAGGGGGGAAAAAAGGGAGAAAATCTTCCGGAAGAGAACGTTTCTGTCGCGAGAACTACAACCAGGCGATGTTTTGTGGGATGATACAACGACTGGGTTTCCACGCACGTTTTCGCTTATTTTCCAGCACCAAGAAAAGTCGTAGCCATTTTATTTCTCCCCCTTTCAATATAGAAAAAAACATCATTCGTTTTCCAGCGCAAAATATAATAGTTTTTCTGTATAAAATTTTTTCATGTATTTTTTTCAACGCAAAAACGAACCTGCTTTCAAATTTGCAATCGTTCGCGGGATTCCCCCCCACTGATTTTATTTGTAAGATCTAAGAATTTGAAAACGAATTTCGGTTACTAGTCATTCGGGAATTATCTATTTCATTGTTTCGCAAGCTCGTTGCTGGTTCACTTGAAACGCTTTGTTCGGGTGTGTGTGTGCTAACTCCTAAGCAAAATTCTCTCAGTTCTTTTCGCTTAGTGGCAACAATTAATGATGCACCAATCATGGCTGGGACAAGGTACAGCAAGGCAGGTTGGCCACCAGCACCCGGAACTATTACTTGAATTAAAAACGCCAGTATCAATGCGATGACGTAGCCGATCATCGTCGAAATCCCGTACAACCACCTAGAAAAAAAATTATATTTTCGATTTTCATTAAGACAGCCAGCACACACTGATTTCGAAACGTATTCTGAGAGGTTAAGGGGTTTAGATTAGTGTTCTCCGACCCGTGGTCCGCGGACCGGTGCCAATCTGCAGAGGTTTTTTGCCGGTCCGCGGGAAAATTTCTTGAACATGAAAAATTCATTAAAATTAATAATGAAGTGTATTATCGCAATCCAAAATTTTCAAAATACAATGACAGTTAAAATTATTTGATAAAAATAAAATTTTGGATTTTCTCTCAATTGCAGCACTTCAGACTTTTTCACGTCTTGAATTGAATTATTTCAAGTTTTAAATCTGAAATACCTTTTTATTTAAAAGCCNTGAATTGAATTATTTCAAGTTTTAAATCTGAAATACCTTTTTATTTAAAAGCCCAGCTGTCTAATTCGTAAATACATCTCCCTAGATAGCTGCTTCATTGGTTCTTAACTTAATTTTTGAAATAACAGTTCTATTCTGAGGACTGCATGGCAGGTATTTGAAAAATGTCTGCTGGTTGTCAAATCTTTCATGGGGCGTTGCCGGTCTGCAGGAAATATTATGAAAATGTGCCGGTCTGCTATGTAAGCCCAAAAAGGTTGGGATGATCCTCGGATGTACTCATTTTTGTTAAAAAAAAAAAAGAAAGATACTTTTCGGCTAAAACTACAAGCATTTCATGCATGCAAAAGCACTTTTGAAGTTGAGAGGGAAAGCAATTGTCTAGTACTCTAGTCTCTATTAGTGTTTCTGCGAGGTTCTGAATGACAAAACAGAAAATCGCAGTAAATTTCTCATGAAAGGTCATGCAAATTGTCCCCCGATTTTAAATGAAGGTAATTAGCATTAAATTAAAACTTATTAAGATTATGAGACAGATATATGAACTAAACCTGAAGTTCGAGCCAAATTTTCGTGATTATTTACTTGAAATGAATTCATCGAACATTCTTTCAAAAAACATCTTTCCATTGTCGCAGCAGAGTGAAACACTTCAGGAATACTTGTCAAATTAGGTTCTATGATTTCATTATTGTCATAGATTATGGATGTTTGCGAGATAGTTTGAACTTACGACACTTCGACGTAAAAAGCAATTCAGCAGCATGGATATTCCATGCATTTAAACCTTTCACATCAATTCTAAAGTCACATACGTAAGAAAATTGAGATCCAGCGAATATGACTCCCACTGAAAACGAATATCACTCTTTCTTTTGGCTTCCGGATTAAACGGAAAAGAGGTTTTTCCTGGTGTTCTTTTGAAGGATGCATAATGAGCATGCAAAAACTCATGCCCACTGTACTTGGGCTGGAGAAAGATGATGGCATGACAGAAGCCATTGGGAGGCATGCGCCAACATTCCGGAGGCTCCAGTTTCCTTTCCGTTTCTTTTCTTTCCCCTTTTAATTTTAACCTTGTGCGTTGTTGAGATAGGTTATATAAATAAATCAACAAATAATTATATAAGTACTGTTTGAGCAGTCAAATTTCAAGGGACAAGCAAACAAATTTGACTTTAGGAGGTTTTGAATTATAGAGGTTTTGAGTTGCAGAACCAAGCATTTTTTGCTGTGGAAAACTTGTAAGTATTGCACAAATAGTAAATGGCGATATTCTGGGCCGTTAATTGCTTCTTAAATGAGTTGACTTGGTAAAGGCACCAGTTTATTTGATTAATTTAGTCTTTCACTTCTGTTCAAAACACAAAAAATTTCCATTTTTATTGCTTCTCTCTTTCCTGTGTCAAGAAAATAATAGCCAAAAGGACTCCAAAAATTCGACTTACGGAGGTTTGAGAGGAAAAGCCTTCAAGTATGTGAGGTTTTTAATGCATTGTTTCCAAGGGAATTCAGGCAAGGGCTTGAAAAACAAGTTACTGTGAGGGGTTGGAGTTATCCAGGTTCAACTGCAAATACAGGTGGCACCTTGCGATTTGATGTCCCACAAATCAACAGTCTCACACTTTGACAGTCAAATCTGCTAAGACATTTATTTACAATTTGACCTCTTGCTCAGCAAATCAAACTACAGAGGGTCTCAAAATGTCAAATTCCATGTAGAAAATACAGAATTTGGCATTGTCCTGCAATTTGACCGCTTCACAATTTCACACTTACCCAGCAATCGATTAGGGTTGAATTGCTGGGCACCACCTGCATCTATATTTAGGTATAAGAGAAGAGATAAAAAGATGCACATCCCCGAACCTGGCGAGAAACCCCGGCGGCTCCAGTTGGCTGGAAGCCCGTTGATCCCCAGCTCTGATCAAATCAAACAGGAAGCAATAGGCTGCATAAAACCCAGGCACGATGACGTCCCCAAAGCCGAGCATGGAGAAGGCTCGCAGGCCACAAACACTGTCTGCGTCGTCCTGGTTGTAGGTGAAAATCGATCCCGCCTCTGGATAGGCCTTCCGGTTCCCATAAACGTTTTTGAGACTGGCTGCCGGGACGCTGAGGCATAAGCGTTGCAAGCCAAGCTTTGGGCGAGGACCTAGGAGCTTTAATCGTTGTATGCTCATAACTAACGTCTGAAATAGGAAAAAGAACCAGCTGGGTTGACCACTCGCAAGTACTACTCAGCTACATCCCACCAAGGTTCCCGATTAATCTCTCTCCTAATGCTCCATTGCAGACAGGAAGTGATTAATGGAGAGCCATTTCTATCCAGGACGGAAACTCTCTGCTAGAGATGTTGACATAGGCCTCGATGATTTTTTTTTACATTACCTCGATAAAAATATACTTCTTAATAATAGTTCATCACATATACCGGTAATTAAGGAAAATATTACTCTATGAAAGGTGCTATGATAAAGATAAGATATAAGAGAAAATTTCAACAAAGCACTCCTGATAAGAAGCTCAAGATTTTGCTCGAATAGAATGCGTTACAACTTTCTATACCACTGATATATAGAAGCAATGCATTTGACGAAATTTATGATCTGCCAACGAAAGCATGAAAATTTCTTGTTGAGATTAGTGGGCCAAAATATTGCTTGAAATATCACTGCGCTTATAGCTCCACAAACATCAGAAAAAAATTTTGAAATTTTCAAAAAAGGAAGATCCTGACTATCCATAAGCCTAACGTTAAAAATGTTTCCCATCAATAAATTTCATAGTCTTGCTATAAAAAATTATTCGGTGCAAAATTTTCTTTCTGAGGTATTCAAGAGTTTAATGTTATGAGAGTCTATTTTTCCCACATTCCCTAAATTAACTTGTAGATAAATTGAAAAGTGATTCCAGAATACGAAGAACCTCGTATTTTTCAAACTTTTCTTTTTTTTTTTTACAATGTTAAGGATTCGGTGTTTTATGCTGCCCTGGGCAACTTGACTGTGATACTACGTTTTTTTTTCGCAGACGAAACAAGTTCACTTTTTAATACCTTGAAATTAAGACTTTTAAAAGATAATTTATTTTCAAGAATTCGGATTGAGTGAAACCTATTTTGGCACCGAGAACGACCTTCTCCATGATGGACACCCCGTCGCTTGTGAACAATCTCGACACGAACACAAAGAAGACGTCGTACACCAGCAAAATAACACTGGTACAAGCCACCAGTTTGAAAGTCGGTCTGACTTGCGCCACCCCATCGATGCAAACACAAGCCCCGATGATCACGTGGATAAGCCAGTTCCATCGCCACACCGGGGTATCAACCAAGCCAGTAACCAGCCAAGTCATGGGGAATAAAATCCCGAGAAACCCGGAACAAGTCTCCCGCACTTCCGGTCTTCCACACCCGCCTCTTCTCAACCCTGCGCTTGCGCATCTGTACACGCCCCACGCCCCGTACAGACTAAAGATCCCAATGGCAAAATAAAGCATAACGACCGGGAAAAAGTACATGAACAGCAGTAGTCCGGTGACGGAAATGACAAGGATCACGACCTGGCACCAAACTTTCGAAAGGACGCAGATGATGTTATTGAGAACTGATTGCACGAAAAAGTAGCTGACGTCGTCGGGTTCCTGTTGCTGGTGAGATGAGTGAATTCGTTCCATGCAAGAGGGTTGATTCAAGGCCTCCAAGGTTCTTGCCCTTGAGTTTTATCGCGGTTTACACGTCGTCCAACACCTCTACTACTTGTCCCAGTGGTGCCTATAGGTCGCTTCTAATACGAAGCAGAACCCGTGTGTTTACATGTGGTACAGGTCTGAACGCTAGAGCAAATACGGAAAAATTCCCAGACAAATAGGATCAGTGTTTGGGAATTAACCTTTCTGCCGTCCCATTCATTGCTAAATAAGAAAGAGCAATACGTTCTCGTAACCTTTGACATTAAAACAATGTATTACAAAACACAGTAGATACAGAACGGGAAAGTAGCAGGGACCAAATTATTGAACACGATTAGTGCAGCGATCTTGAACCGATAACCTTTACAATAAGTAAAGTTAAAAATAATTCAGTTACTTGTCGAACTAATCACATTTTCGGTATATTTTAATGATATGGGTATGACCATCGCGACCATTTGAAAAATAATCGTGTTTCAAATAAATCATTCGCACGTCGAGATCAGAAATGTCTTCGTTAGTCCATCAATTCGGAAAACAAAATATTTTTTATCACACGGTAATTTTGGAAGTCGGCGAAATAAACATCGATGCGAATCGATGCATAGCTTGAAATTCAACTACAGTAACCCAAAACGAAATGCATCTGTTATTGAAACGATTCTTCTTCATAGGAGAGTGTTTTCAATCCAAAAGAAAACTGAGAAAGATAGTGGAATGTTATGCGAATTCTTCAGCAACCAGGATTGTAAATTCTTGGTCAAGAGTTAGCACAATCCCCAACAATTAGGGATACGCTAAAATAAGCTCAGACACCAGTTACTGGGATTCATGCTGGGTTGGAAAACTTATTACTTTTTGAATTGAAGTAAACATTTGTTGGTGAGTTTGGATAATGATCGTGATTTTTCTCGAAAATGAATTACGACTGAGATTGATATACAAATTTAATTGATGATTAACGTAAGTCAATTCAATGAGTTGTTTATTCGCCATTCTGACAATAAGCAGGACAAAAATTATTACAAATCTTTCAACCTTGAAATATTACTCAAAACGATAGGAACGTTTTTCTAACTAAATGCTTGTTTTCCATTTACTGGACCGTAACACTTGAATATTTGTCAAATAAACCCCTAATATTTTTCATAAAAATGCGTGCCTTGGCTTAATTTGCAGTTTCTGTGGTAGCCCTGTGATGATAACAATGCACTCGAAGAAAGAAAATTGGTTATGGTTCAATAGATATAACGTAATGCATTTTATTAACACGTTTTTATTAACTCGCTTTCTTGTCCGTTTGTTTGTCCTGATCAAATTTTGCAACTCAAATTTTGCTCACTTCAAGACTAGCTAGCAAGCTGAAACTTTCAGGATAGCTTAGAAACTACGGGGGAAGTGGTTCAATATTCGCAGTGAAGGGAATTTGGTTAGGGTGTAGTAACACTTGAATATCCGTCAAATAAACCCCTGAACCCTGATATATTATATAAAAATGCGTGCCTTGGCTCAATTCGAAGTTTTTGTGGTAGCACTGATGATACCAATGCAACCGAAGAAATAAAATTGGTTAAGATATAACGTAATGCATTTGGTAATGTTCATTTTAATTAGCCAATCAAGACGTACTACCATTTCAAGAGCTGCCCCTAAACCGCGATCATCCATTGAAGAAATAGCATTGAAATGTATGTAATCTTCCAACAATCAAATCTGAGAGTATTTTTGCAAACGATCACAGCATAGAAAGGCCAGAATTACACATGAGATAATCCTTCAACTATTTTAGTGCTTTCAGACTGCAGATGACGTACAGAAACGAAGACCAGAGCATTCGAATCGTCTGTTTGTATCTGAAGAAGAGAGATCATCGCCATACATGCATATACAATATAGGTATAGTACTGATTTACATATTTCTTATGGATGGCGATCAGTGGCTTGATGAATGATCGGAGCGTCGTTAAAAGCTGTTCTAGGATATTTCGGACTTCTATAGACAACATCGCGACACGCGAGACGCCGGTGACATTTACGTCGCACTCGCTGCTATGACACGCAACACAACAGGAATTCTGGCACACACACACGAAGATCGAGAGATATACATACCAGGGGTTGGTTCAAAAGTTTTAGAACCTATTGAAATAGATCTGACAGAATTTCCAGAAATCCAAAATTTTTTTTACTCCCATAGCCCCATCATTTGGCAACACACGACTGCTGTTCAACATACTCTCCATCAATTTCAATGCATTTTTTCATGCAAAAAATCTAATGATCAAAACAGTGCCAAAAATTGAGTTCTCTTAGTTGATTAAGCTGCTCTTTTAAAGAAGAAATGAGGCTATTTTAGAAAAATATTCCGAAGAAAGGTAACAGAAAAGAGGCAGCTGATCAGGCAATCACTGGAATTCCTGGTTGTCATGTGATCGGCTCACCATTATTCCACCACCCGTTTTCCATTGTGCAATCCTCTTCTTCCTCAAATCTGTTTCCCTCACAATATCTTGGCAGTCTCTCTCAGCCATTCATTGCATTCAGTTCTGCATAAATCATTTCTCTGTGTGATTGAAACTGAAATGACCCAGTTTGCTGAATTCTTGTGTGAAATAAATTCTTTCTTGCCTTATTTGTGGTTTATATTGAGTTTTAATTACTTGAGTCACCCAAGTTTTTTCTTCTGTAGGCATTATTCTACAGCTATCTCTGCCCTCATATCAATCTCTTTCAGGTCCTTCTTCAATTTTAAGAACAGCCAAAAGCCTGAGTGTCTAATCTACTAAAAGAAGCCAATTTATGGCATTGTTTTGATTATTGGTTCTATTATTGCTTGAAAAATGCAATTAAATCAGCAAAGAGTATGTTGAACACTGTGGGGTTGCGGAAGCAGGCATGACCCAAGCATTGCATCTTTGCTTGGGCACGCCAACATCACCAAGACATGCGCAACGGAATCCTGTTGCGCACCCGGTTTACGCAATGCGGTGAGCCGGGTGGCAAGATTACAATCTGCAAGAACCAAAGTAATCCAAAGGCTCTGAGGCCTGTCACTCGAGAGAGAGAGCTCCCAAAGCGTTGCCTGACAATGAGTAGACTTCATTAGGGCTGTCTTAGAAACTGTCTTGTATGTGTTATGTGCTTGTGTGATTGTCTTGTAAATTTGGGAGGTTCTCTAAGCTTTGCCTGTGTTCTACTGTGTGGCCTGTGAGTAAAAGAGCTAGAGGGACTCCCATAAGGAGGATCCGACCTCCTGAAGGCTGAGTGCTTGTAAATTTATTTCCTTTACAACCCCTTTTTCGTATCCGGCCCAACAAACACCACTAGAGTAAGTTGCCAAATGATGGGGCTATACTTGCTTGTCGCAACAAAAAAACAAAAAAACCTTCCCATGCAACTTTGAGGTAACCTAGAATATGTTATTAAGAGTTTTGAAAACTTGGATGGGAGAACACATTTCGTGACATGACACCTTCGGCTGGACAACGCCGACAATCGATCACGAGTATCCACTCCAATAGGGGCCAGTACAACAGGCAGGCGGGACTGCTGGAGATATCTGATGAAGCCCGCCGGACGCAGTACTCCGGGATGCGTCATGATCAGCAATACGAGTCCGAAGTCAGCAGCAGCGGCGTTGCTCAACTTTTGCTCCAGACTGCAACCGCCGACGTCGCTGATGACGATTGCTCGTCCGACGAACGAACTCGATGGCACTTGGCTATACTCGCGTAAATCATGTGAGGGGAAAAAAATAGGAAGCAATAATAAGGCATATTACAATCAAGGGAACGACATGGAATATGTACTCAAACTGATTGAACTAACCCACGAAGCTGCTAAATCACGGGATCAGCTACGGGTTATTTCTCACATTATAAAAAAAAAAAAAAACTTTACAGGATATACCCACATTATTTCACGCTGTCTCGTGTCTGTGATCTTGATATTGGATCGGTTTCTTGAGATATTTTTTCCCTTTGCTTTTTTCTCGAACACATTTTTTAAAATATCGGGGATCTTTCATGAATGGCGTGCATTCGTTTGAATCTTTTGAAGTGGAAAATACTAGCTCGACTGAAAAAAATTTCGCGGCACTAAATTAATTACGTTCCTCGCAACGTAAAAGTATGAAAATGGAGTGTTCATCTCATGATCACAGTATTCAATTCCTTCAGACGTACGAGAAGTTTACTTGGATA